ATTATGTCAAAGCGCTTCCATTGTTCTTTTACCTTGGGGAGTTTTTGTCAATAAATTAGAATCTTGTTAGCAACACTTCCCTCTTCTCTGCCAGCTCTTTGCAAGAGACCGTCAGCATATTTTTAACTGCTCAGAAAAGGGGATTTCTCCCTTCCTGCCTGAAAAATGTCATTGAAAAGGGGTGGGAATTTTTTTCCTTGAAGCTTTCAGCAGAAAATGGAGACATTTCTTGTTAGGGCCTAAAATACATGTGGTCCGGGACTGAGAAGCCTTTGTTCTTTGAGTTTCTCCAGTCTCTGGTGAAAAACCAAAATGTTTCAAGGACAGCAGATGCTTTCCGCAAAAAATTTCATTGAATCAAACCCCCAAATTGCAGAAGAAAAAAAAAGTACTGGTTGACCTCTCTAGTCCGGCACTTTCTGGTTCAGCAACTTCCATGGTCCGGCATGATTTGAGTGAGCCGGATGTCTGCTTAGCATGGATGTCGCCAAGTTTCCCACAATCCCATAAAGTTTGTTTACAGCCACCAGTGGTGGTTCAGAGTCTTCTGTACTGTGATTTTGCTCTAATTTCCCCTAAATATCTACTCAGAGCCCAGGAAGCAGTGGCAGCGCTGGTGATGCTGCTAGACAATTTTGACCTCCCGTGGTCTGGCAAATTCTTTGGTTCGGCACTGGTCAGGTCCCGAGGGTGCCAGACTAGAGAAGTTCAACCAGTAGAAGGAACCCTTTTAGCCATCCCTAATTAGTATCCCCCTTTCAGTAGGGAAACTGAGGCATAACAGCTAACAAATCTGTGGCAGAACCAAGATTAGAACTCAGGAGCCCTGATGCAGGGCCAGATACATAAGGGTACATTGGTACCTAACTCCTGTTAATTTTAAAGGTCTGCATCTTATTGCCAACTGCCTTATCCTCTGGACTGCCTCCCCCCACACTTCTTGTTAACGCTGTCGCCCAGGGGTTTGGCCATGTTCTAACACCTCCTTCCCATTGCTGCCCTGCTTACTGTGTGTCCAGCTCATCCAATATCAAGGCCCTGATCTCCCTTCCTGCACCCCAAGCCAGCAAGACTCACTCACACCCCCAGCAGCCTGCCCCAGCCCTGCCTCTGGACTTTGCCTGTTTCATGGGGGAAAAAGGTGTCACCCGGTCACACCCCCTCCTGGGCTCAGGTTACGAAGGGTATCAGTTTGTGGGGGAGGCTATCGCACTGAAATTCCCATCCCCATCTAGGTATTGGTGTGGTGTGGGAAACTGAGGCACGCACCCGGGGTTACTACAGGACAGTAGAAATCACATGCAACATAATAAGGTGACTAAAAGTCCCACAAAGACACAGGAACAGAAGGTGGTGAATTTAAAGGACTCTTTACCCGGGCTGTGGGACACAGCCAGACCCCGGGGGCCCCATGGGCTCCCCGGCCCACATTGTCTTAGCACCAAATTGTGGAAGAAAACATTGTCCTCACTCTGCGTTTGTAAGCAACAAGTAGCCAGAGGCAGTTTTATTACGAGCTGCAGCAAGGGAAAAACTGGTTCGAATGGGGGGGGAAGCCCCCCCGAGGCAGATCTTCGAATACAAGCAATTATGAAGCAGTTTATATACTGTCCATTAGATATAATAACAATAACAATTAGTCCCCTTCCCATTACAAACACCAATGGCTAACAGTTTAGTTCCACCCAGATGCTCCTTATTTCAAGGTCCCTGCCAGAGTCAGCATTTTATCCTTATCTCCGCAAGGTGGTTCTCTTTTCCTGCCTCCACAGTCCTGGCCTGGACTGCACAGGGTTATTGGCTGGGCTCCCTGCCTACAGGCAGAATGTGGCTGTAATTAAGGCACTGACTGCAGCTACTTCTCTCTTCTCTAAGCTGCTCCTCTACTTTCCCACAGACCATGTGGCTGAGAACCGAGCGTTTCAGTTCCAGCCCGGTGCAGGTACCGCTAGCACGTCACCCCAGCCGTAGCATGGGAGAGACACTGAGCCGGTTCCCCTGCGGGTGTAAATCAGAGGTCAGTGTCTGGCTGTTCGCATAGGACTTCCGGCTCTCAGACACGGCAGCTTGGTGGTCCCAAGCGTGACCGGGAACAGAGGCTTGGGGCCTGGCCAGAGATGAGTCCATATCCTGGGATAGCTGCCAGAGCTCCGGGTGCTGAAACCCAGCCAAGTCAAGCACATCATCCCATGGAAGGACACCCATTGACTCCCCCGGGACCTGGCCCGGCTCGCCAGCTTGCTGGCTTTAAGAGAAGGAAGCTGAGCCAAACCCCCGTGAGCCTGTTGTGGGGAGCGTTTCCATCGGCTGCCAAGGGCCAGGCTGGACATCGCATTTCCCTGTCTGGAGAGCCTTTTCTTTGTGGCCGGTTGTGGCTACGGCTAAGGCTGAGGCTTGTTCCCAGGTGTCCCCAAGTCCCGGCCGCCTTCTTCTCAAGGATTTCGGCTGTCCCTCTTGGGTGCTTCAGAACAGCAAGCCGGATACGTAGAGGTAGGTGGCCTCCCTGTTGTGGGAAATTCCCTGTCTCTTGCAGTGCGCGTCTGCAGTCCTGCATGTTGCTCTCCCGCCGCGGCCTGGCAGGCTAGTCCAGCCCCCGTGAAATGATGGTGCCTAGGGGATCACACGGAGTCACAGTCAGCTCCCTCCAGGCTTGGCTGCAGCAGAAGGCCTGATCCTCTGCTGCCCCGTGTCCCAGGCCCCTCTTTACACCGGTGTAAACTGGGCTCCAAGAACCCACAGCGCATAACGATGGCAAGACCACTGCACCGTAGTACGGGACTTGACAGCAAAGGCGGCCCAGGACTCTGGCTTGTGTCTTCAGTCATCCCAAAATCTTAGGGCCCGATCCTTAAAGCTCTCCCTACGATGTCCTGAGGTTAGGGTTGCCAGGTGTCTGGTATTAACCTGGACAATCCGATATTTTTGCATCCTGTCCAGTAAAAAAATTCAGAAAATACCGGACACCTAGAATGTCGAGTATTTTCTGATTTTTTTTCCCTGGCCAGGAGGTGAAAATCCCAGGTGCTTACCTGGTTCCATAGGGGAGCTCTTGGGGTCCTTTTTTTTTCCTCAACAACTTTGGTCTCCCCCTTTTTTTTCTCAACAGAATTTTTTTCCCTGGTGGGTTTTTTTTTGTGGGGGGGAGTGTTTGGTATTTTTGGTTAAACCATCTGGCAACCCTACCTGAGGCCCAAATCCTTTTAGTTGCCTGACTCCCTGGGGAGATCAGGGGTGAAGTGCCTCTCAGGATCTGGGCCTCGGTGTCTTCACTTCCCATTGCTGTCAGTGTGAGTCGAAAGTTCTCAGCACCGCACAGAATCAGGCCTGGGGTGCCTTTCTTCTTGGTGCCTGCCTGTGGAGATCTGGGTTAATGCATAGGTAAACGGGTGTGCAGGCCAGCCCTTAGATGAGGAGACAATGCCCCTTCTGAAAACAGGAAGGTCCCTGGCTCAGGGAGGATATGGCTCTGGGGAAGGGGTTATTTAATTTCCCTGATGCAAGATTCCTTAACGAGCCAGCTCATCCATAAGCAAGCATTGCACAGCCTGGCTGAGCGGCTGGATGGGGGATCTGCCGGCCAAAGAAGCAATTATGGTTTTGCATGCACATTGACCAGTGCCCTGCATACTCGATCAAACACAAGTGGATAATCAGCTAATAACGGTGCTGAGTTCCCGGATGCACAGACTCCCTCGAGAGCGTGCATGATGCCGTTTTGCTCCTCCTATCTCCCAGCATCTGCCACTGCTGCCGGGATCAGCACAGAGACGCAGAGAGAACCGTGAAGACATGGAGGTGGCCAGCAAAAAACCCTCTCTCCCTTTCTTGCTCATGACGCTGATTACCCTCTCTGCAGGTAGGTGAAGCAGAACTGATTTAAATTGGACACGTGTAGGGCAGAGTAATGTAATCATTTTCTAGCACAGAGCAGGAGAGCAAAGGGAAACCCGGCTGGTATGTCTTCCTCCATAGTAAATTGCTTTCTGTGCATTTATGGCAGCTTGCTATGCTTTTTGCTTTAGACTGGGTCCTTGCTGAATGGTAAATCAATGTGAGTGGAATCTCAAAGCTGTATGAACAGAGGTAGAACAATTCTTGAGCCCATTTTCCTGTTGCCTGCTGCAGATTTGTGGCTAGATAGTTTCCAGTGTGTTATCTAATCCAGTTGATTTGTCCGGTTATTTTCCAAAGGATTTAGAACTGCACCGCCGAGGGAATAAACAGTGCTGACAATCCTGATTTCTTCCTTAGGTTGTTGATTTTCAGGTGTCCGAGGAAAGGACTCTGTTCTTTTCAAAGGTATCATCTGATTTGGGTCAACAGCTCATTAATGATATGGGCCAGCTGGTATAAACGGGCATAGACTCCCTGAATACAGGGCAGCTTTGCCATTTTAGGCCAGCTGAGAGCTGGGGCTCTTATGTAAAAAAAAGCCAGAAGAACCTCCGTTAATTCTCACTTTGCTAATCCACAAATCTAATCATTCTCACCAGAGCTGCAGTTCCTAGAGAAATCTTTTAATAGCAGAGACAGATCCGCAGGGAGGTCTTCTTCCTAAAATGGGCTATTTTTACAAAATATGCTGCAGGACATAGTGGAGCTATGGAAAGACGTTCTCATCCCGAATCTGAACAAACAGTTGAAGCTTGAACATTTTTACAACCAGAAGGCTAATCATTCCTTAAAAGGAACGCTCGTCTAGCCCTCCACGTCCCGTGATTCTGCCGGGCGGCTGAGGAAGATCTCAAATAAAACACACTGTCACGAAAGGACATTTCTGGTGACTTAGCACTTCCCAATGGCTCTTTGTTCTCCTCTCTCTGCACCAGGGTGTAGGATAGAGGGGGGTGTCACTGTGCGCTGTGACAAAAAATGGGTGAGCACTGAACAAACGCAGAGCCAAAAAAATCTCGTAACAGTGGCACAGCCGTGTAGCTGCGGTGCTGGAATTCAATTAGACCTAAATTGGACTGATTCATGTACAAACGGCACTAGGATCACTTGGTTCAAATCGGTTACAATTCTTGCCTCTGTACAGGCAGTCCCCGGGTTACATGGATCCGACTTACATCGGATCCCTATTTACAAACGGGGTGAGGCAGCCCCGCACTAGCTGCTTCCCCCCAGCAGACCGGGGAGACGCGAAGCTAGCGCCCCCCCCCTCCCCAGCAGACCAGGGAGACGCGGAGCGGCTTTTCTCAGCAGACACCTCAGCTTGAGAATAAAGGCCTGAGGGAAGTGAGGTGTGGGAGAATAAAACTGAGCTCTGGAGAAATGTTTGGCTAGAGTTTCCCCTACAATATGTACCAGTTCCGACTTACATACAAATTCAACTTAAGAACAAACCTACAGTCCCTATCTTGTACGTAACCCGGGGACTGCCTGTACTTCATCTGTGTCTCTCTCTCATCATTACTCTGTGGTCTTTCCCATCTATGTATCTCTGCCTTCTCCTCTCTCTAGCTCAGAGTTTCCTGTGGCACTCTAGTATTTACACTTCCCCCCTTTTACTCCTAGACCTTTCTGGTGTTATCCTCCCTCCGCCTCACAAGCAGTGAGTTTGATGCCAGGATTTACTCAGATTAGCACATTCCAAACAACTGCTGGGTAAACAGGATAAAAATTGCCCGGCCTTTGCCAATTCAGGAAATGGTTTGATTGTCTTAAAGCGAGCCAGCCTTGGTATGTTTCCAACCCGTCATTTCCTCACTCCCCCGAACAATGATGCGGCCGCAGCAAATGGAACTGGAGTCATTGAGACCACATCGGCAGCTCTGGAACGGTCGCCTTTTCTAAAGCGGACGTTAGCGTTGTGGTGAGACCCACGCGTCGCTCGAGCGACGGGTAAACTGGCACGAGAGCGGATGAGGCTAGTGGAAAAAGTTTGTGGCGGCCACAGGAAAGCTCCAGCATCTGTGTCTGCGCTGTTTGCACGGAAGCGGGGTGCTTGGCAGAGATCTTGATGGGCAGCCCTCACCTTCAACACAATGGGAAGTGTTCATTCAAAGCCAAGTGTTCTAAAAGCGAGGAAGGATGGCCCAGTGGTTAGCGCCCCCGCCTCAAACTTTGATTCATACAGTTCAGGAGCGAAAAAGGTGCATTTGCTCATCTGGTCTGACCTCCGCTGCATTGCAAGCCAGTTTTCACCAGTCAGATTGTGTTTGTCCTTAGAGAGCCAATTGCCTGCTCTGGCACAAATGTCCTGGTAATGGGTAGAGGCCCTGTGCCTCAGTTTCCCCATCTGTAAAACAGGGTGGCGTGAGACTTTATAAAGACTGGAGGAACGTGAGTGCCATGGTAGTGGGGGCTGTTGTATCTAGGCACCGAGTCCTCCCCTTTTAAATTGTTTGCAAAGCCCTCGAACGGTGCTCATTGCGCTCTGTGTTTGAGAAGCCTGCCAGAAAGGTAGTGGGCAGGCGGCTAAACTGGGTGCGTCCGTGTGTGTTTGGTGAATACAGTGAGTTGGGCCCACGTGGTTAATTCGGATGATTTTGGTTTGTGGTGGAAACATCAAAAGACAGCCGAGAGCAGGTGTTTCTACTGGTGGTGCACATGCTTAGGTGCACAGAACAAAATTGATTCCACCCACGGATGGAAAAAATTAGAGGGCACACTGCCACTCACTAGCCTAAGTTGCCCCGCACTGCCAGAGTTTCTGCACACCCCAGAAGTGCTGTGGGTGAATGCCACGCCCCTGGTGAAGTCCATGGGAGCTGTGCGTGGGAGGTGAACTTTACCCAGTGACCAGAGTTTTCAAAAGGGCTCACTCAAGGACGCTGGGATAATTTTTGCTGAGAGCCATTGAACCAAACTATAAACCCTGTGTAGAATTGAAACCATATCAAGCCAGGGGGAGGGCAACGGCTTTGTCCCCCCCCCCCCCCCCACACACACCCTAGTTCCCTCACCTCTGGGCTCAGCACTGACAAGTGAGGCTAGATGTTCCATACGAATGTTGGATCTCCACTGGGCGCAGTGCCAAGGGGAGCCAGGTTTGAAGAAATGTTGGCCATTCCCAGAATGCCTGGAGCTGGCCCACATCGCTCCCCTTCTCAAACTTCCTCCCCGCACCTGCCTATGGCTCTGGGAGGGAGTTTGGGTTTGGGCTCTGGGGAGCCAGCAGACACAGGTGGGGGAGAGACCCAGCCCCAAATTTCCATGGAGCTGAGCCCCAGGCCAGGAATATCCCCAGTGTCCGGGCACCATGGGCCCGTAGACCCCACCACCTACGGCTCTGCCCCCTAACTGCCCAGCTAGTTGTCGGCACTGAGTGCTGGAGAAAGTCTGACCCTTTAGCACGTGCTTAGCTACTCTCCTGGATCGGGATAGGTGAGCACCACAGACACCAGGGCTGCGTCTAGACTGGCAGGTTTTTCCGCAAAAGCAGCTGCTTTTGCGGAAAAACCTGCCAGTCTAGACGCAGCCCTGGTGTCTGTGGTGCTCACCTATCCCGATCCAGGAGAGTAGCTAAGCACGTGCTAAAGGGTCAGACTTTCTCCAGCACTCAGTGCCGACAACTAGCTGGGCAGTTAGGGGGCAGAGCCGTAGGTGGTGGGGTCTACGGGCCCATGGTGCCCGGACACTGGGGATATTCCTGGCCTGGGGCTCAGCTCCATGGAAATTTGGGGCTGGGTCTCTCCCCCACCTGTGTCTGCTGGCTCCCCAGAGCCCAAACCCAAACTCCCTCCCAGAGCCATAGGCAGGTGCGGGGAGGAAGTTTGAGAAGGGGAGCGATGTGGGCCAGCTCGCTAGACGTAGTCCAGGTGCCCCTTCCTCTCTGCACAATGGCTGCAAACCTGTCGGCTTGGAACGCGTGACGTGGGAGGGGAGTGAAATTCAGAAGTGGTTTAAGGCACAGATTTAAAAAAAAAGGAAACTCAAAGGAAGCCTCAGACAAATAGGATCAGTGTCAGAAAAGCCCCGCTGAGGCTCAGCACGTCTTATGCAGAGATGTGTACAAAGCAATGCAAAGAGGCAGCTTGTAATGTGGGCTGCGGGAAGGTTTATAAGAAGTAAACTCTCTGATGTTGGTATTTAATCTTCTTTAATACACAGGCGCAGCTGTTTCTCCTCCCCATCCAAGCGGGCTAGGAGAGGAGGGAAAGCATGGCTGGAGGGACTAGGTTTAATTTCAATGATGCATCACCTTTCATCCTACGGACTTAACTTGTTAGAACCAGAGATCCATTGCTGCCTTGGTTTCTGGGCACCCCACAATCTTGAATGGCGTGAGCCTCACCACACCCCTGTGAAGCAGGCCAGTGGGACTGATCCATTTTACTGCTGGGAAAACGGAGGCCAGGATTAGAACCCACAGCCCCGGAATCCTGAGGCCTTAGACCCTGCTACACTAGGCAGTAAAATAATAGGCTGCCTGCTCTGTGCTGAGCCAGAGCCCCATGAGAAGCAGGGGGCGGGCCTGCATGGGGCCAGAGGGCTGCCTGTTGTGCACTGTAGGCTGATAAAGGCTGAAAGAGGCATTATTTTCTGAGGAAGGGAGACAATCCATAGGACCTGCCTGGCCTGCTGGGGGAAGGTTGGGGGGGGGGGGGGGGGAGGAATTCGTTGAGAAAAAAAAAACGGGACCAAAGTTGTTGAGGGGGAAAAAAAAGACCAAAAAAAAGAGTCACTGCGCCTTTAAATCCCCATGCTCCCCGCTTCCCCGCCCTGCCAGATGCAGCATTTTACATGTCTGGTATTTTCTGGTTTTTTAAATCAGATAGAGAACACAAATACTGGACTGTTCAGGCCAATACCAGACCCCTGGCAACCCTTTGAGAGAGGGTAATGGGGAACAGCTGCTAGAAGCAGGGAGGCCCTTGAGCTGGAGTCAAGCAGCCCCTGGGTTTACATGGC